GTGAGAAAATACTCAGGAGCTTTTAAATATTGTCTACAGAAGATTAAGTGTAATGGGAAGGAGCCTAATGGAAGGTATGATCACCACTTTACATAATTTTATGAGAACTTGGAGAAAATTAAAAACATGTTCCCATATTTGTAAAATAATAATCATAATCTAGTACCATAAAAAGTAATAAAGTCTGCTATTAAGCAAACCAAATATTTAAATAGCTTCCAACCCAAATTTGTAAGCAATTTTTATATCACCTCAGAGATTTTAAACTAAATTTAAACTTTTAAATGGAATCTTAAAAAAGAAGCATTTAGAAATCATATGAAAAATGTTTCATAAAATTAAGATAGTCTTTAGTCATATTTTCTATAACTGAATCATAAGTGAACTGGGGCTCACTTAAGTGGGAACCCCAGTTGTGACAGAAATTGTTGGCATTGCAAAATAGTATATAATTACACAGATCACAAACAAGATTATGACCTAACCCTCTTACATTGATTGGATTTGAAGAGGAGTTAGTACAAACTGCAGCCTACTTTTGATGACAATTGACAGGAATGTTTTGTCTTGTTTTGTTTTCTTTTCTTTTTTGAAGAGTATAGAGAAGCCTGTATTCAAAAGTTGCACTAATAACCCAAAACCTAAATGACAGATAAAGAGAGAAGTACCACCCTGGAAAGCCTGTAAGATGAAACAATAAAAGTCCTTTAGCCTGGAGTTGCTCCTCTGGGATAAGTGGCACCCAAATTTAAGATCCCACCTGAGGGAAAATCAGAATATTTAATGAGACAGAAAAACTTGAGAACATGACAAATATTTCAAAATATTAAACCCAATGTTGTCAAAGATGTAGGTTAAAGGGATCCATCGTAAGTTGTTTTTGGGAGTGTAAATACAACAGACTTTTTAAAGAGCCACTGGATGATGTCCAGTAAAACTGAAGTTGCACCTGCCCATGACCCATCAACTATATAGAGAAATGTATCTCAGAGAATCTCTTGCATATCTGTTGGGTTGGAATATATTAGGATATAGATTTATTGTATTATTTACAAAACAAAAATAGCCAACAATCCAGGTGATCACAATCAATTGTGATGTATTTTTTAAAACATTTTATTTATTTATTTATTTGACACAGAGAGAGAGAGAGATTACAAGTAGGCAGAGAGAGGGGGAATGAGGCTTCCCCTCTGAGCAGAGAGCCGGATGCAGGGCTCAATCCCAGGACCCTGAGATCATGACCTGAGCAGAAGGCAGAAGCTTAACCCAAAGAGCCACCCAGGTGCCTTAATTGTGATGTATTTAAATTATCTTATACTTTTTTTTAAATTATCTTATACTTTATAGAATTTTAACAGATGACCTGAATTTTCATAAATCAAAACAGTTGAATCACAGGAATATATGATGCTGGGTGGGATAAAAAAGGTGAAATCACAGAGAAATATAGAATATAAATTATAAAAAGTTTTTGAAATACACAAAACAATAACATTTTATTTGGGGATGTGAATGTACATGGCAAGAAGTGCACACGAAATTCTCAAAGTGGATCCCTTTGAATAAAAGGGAATGGATGTCAGGATGGAGGGTTTAACTTACATGTAACATATGATTCTTTTAGATTTAGACACGTGGTGCATTTTCTCTAGGCTTAAATATATCATCATTTGTTATTTTAATTTAAAAATGTCTACCAGGTAAATGTCAACCAAAGAATACAGGTGTGGTTTACTTAATTTAAAAACAGCCTTCAAGGATGAACATAAAATGTCATAAAAATATTGATGAAAGTTAAAAATCACAAATTAGATATAACAGTCATTAAATATTTATTTACTTATCAGATTTCAAACACAGGCCATAAACTGGGTCACAAATGCATCACGATTAAAAATATTAAAATTTTACAGTATAGTTTCTCTAGTGATGTTGGAATCAGTGCAGAACTAAAAAATTCACTACTATGTGAAAAATCTAAATATCTGGAAATGAACCAACACAATTCCAAGTAAGGCACGGTCAAAGAAGAAATTTTTAAAATATATTTTAAACTGAATGAAAATGCAAATACAAATCACAATGGAATATAACTAAAGAAGTACATAGAGAGAGAGATGTAGCTTTAAATACCTAACATTGAAAAGAAGAAAGAGAAAAAATCAAATATTGAAACTTCAACTTTAAAAGACTAGAAATTAAAATCATATTAAACCCAAACAAATACAAGGAAGGAAGACTTAAGGGATGACCATCAATAAAGTAGAAAATGTGCAATTGAGAAAAATATCAATGAAAGCAAAAGCTGATTCTTTGAATAACAAAGAAGAGGAAAAACTCCACATATACCAATTATCACGAGTGTAAAAGGAAGGATCACTACACTATGTGAAATTTGATGCATCAAATCATACTTTGTTTAATGTGATATGGGAAAGTGCCATATCCAGGAATTAATATCACTCAGCAAAAATTAAGGGTTCTGTGGGTATTTGATTATGGAATTCACAAACTTCATTTTCATAGTGTAAAATCTCTTCTGTTTTAAAATATATAAAAGCATGCACACTGAAGTCATTGGTATTCAAGTAAAATAGGTTAGCATATCAACACTTTATCCAGACCTTTAATTCTTTCTGTAACCTTCATTAGATAGGATTATTTTGCTTACATTCTTTCTTTTAAGATTTTATTTTATTTGTCAGAGAGAGAGAGAGCATGCAAGCAAAAGGAGTGGTGGGCAGAGGCAGAGGGAGAAGCAGGCTCCCCCTCTGAGCAAAGAGCCTGATGTGGGATTCAATCCTAGGAGTCTGAGATCATGACCTGAGCTGAAGTCAGACGCTTAACTGAGCCACCCAGGTGTCCGTTGCTTACATTCTTGATGAAAACTTTCTTTGACAGGAAATTCTATATGATATAAAAATAGCACTGCATCTCATTAAAACAAACAAAAAAAATTGTTTACAAATGTCACTCATAATGAAAAATATAAAGCCTCTAGTAGATAATGATTTTGGTCCTGGTTTTGACATATTAGGGAAAAAACACAGACCCGGTCCAAAGTTTTTCATGACATCCTTCAAATAATAAAAATAAATAAATAAAATATCCTCCTCCAAGCTCAATCATACCAGGAAACAATGTTTTTTTTTTTCCCAAAAATATCCTTAAACATGTCAGAAAGTCCTTTCCTGCAATATAGCCCTATTGTTCTCTAAACTTTCAAGTCTGAGACATTTCTAATAACATTTAGACAGAGTGGAAAGTATGCTCCTTCAGTAGCTGAGAGCTGTGTCAAGAATGAAAATTAACAAATGGGTTTACCTATTATTATTAAATATTTATTGAGGCTTGGGTAATGCAGATATAATTGTAAAAAGAGGGAAAAAAGAAAGAAAAAAAAGGACAATAATCCCTGCATTTACATATACATTCTTTTAAACTTGCTCCATGAATTAACATATGCATGAAGTCATGTGAGCTTCTGAGTTTTCATTCTCTCTATTCCAGATACCCTCATTTTAGAAACAACCTTCTAGAATTTTATAGAGTGAAGAAATAAAACAATATTTCAGCCCTCAAGATACTATTTCAGCTGTAGTTTGCCAATGTATAGTGCTATAAAACTAGTATTTCTTTATTTTGGATTCTAATTTTGCATTAATATAATCTAATATAAATTAGATTTTATGATTATGTCATATTTGAAACAGTGTAACAATATTTGAAACAGTGTACCCAAAAATTAAAACAACAATGACTTCTTAATAGGGATGTACATTCAAGTGAACATGTTGTTCAGATTCAACTGTCTTATCAACTGTGTGTACCTTTGTCTATGGCCCTCTTAGTTGTGACCTGATGAGATTTTATTTTAGTTCTGCTTATGTCACAGATCATCCTTTTTAGTTTTGTCTTGTAGTTCAATTTAATAAGAGTGAATTACATTTTCCTTCTTTGTAGTTCTTAAAAATACTTAATAGAAACAAGTCAAATACAAAATTCTATAGTGCTTCTACAGTTTTCTGAAAGTTGTGATATAGTTCCTGAACCAATTATAGGTTTGTGTAAATGTTTTTTCACATAGAAATCATTTTTTCACTTTCTCTCTCTCTCTCTCTCTCTATATATATATATATTTTCACTTTCTCTCTCTATATATATATAATATTTCTCTAAATAATATATTAAAATATTTTCTAAATATCTAATATCTAAATATGATGCAATCAACAAAGCTCCCTTCATGAGTGGCCAATAATCTTGTCAAAATTTAAGTATGTTTCATTTGGCTTTACTTTGACTTTATGAATTTTTGTTAAAGCTTAGATATTCCTATCTTCTCTTACTTAATATTCACCAACCAGCTATTTAATCTTTTAAAATTAATTCCAGAATTCATAAAGCAATCTTAACTTACTCAGAAATTCTATAGTCGATATTTTGAAGATTTTGAGTTCTTTCAAAAAAAAGTCTTTAAGGGATGCCTGAATGGTTGATTAAATGTTTGTCTCCTTTCAGCTCATGATCCCAGGGTCCTGGGATAAAGACTTATGTCTGGTTACCTGCCCAGTGGGGAGCCTGCTTCTCTGTCTGTCTTTGCCTGCCGCTCCCCCTGCTCATGCTCCCTCTCTTTCTCTGTATCAAATAAATAAATAAAATCTTAAAAAAAAAAATAGTCATTGATGTCTTTCCTGTTTACCTGTGCCGTTTGAAAGAAGACCTGCAATCTACTTTGGCAGTGCCTTAGCTTTCAACTTAAACACATAATGTAATATCATATATTTCCAATACTTTGATAACTGGATATCATCTTCCAAAGAACGCTATTTCTCTTATTTCTAGTGTCAAAATTTATTTTTAAAGAAAATAATTACAATTTTTAGGTGTCATATGTGTTGGGGTAAGTGTTGTCTGTGTGAGAGACAGAGGCAGAGACAGAGATTTTCCTCTCTCACTTTTTTTTTTTTTAATGGTAGCTGTGGGCTCTCTACCACTTATTCTTTATTAAGATATGGCCCATCAAAAGGGAATGATGTTGGTCTATTCAAACGAGGTTGCTTTTCCTTTCCCAGTACAATTAATCTTTTCATCATCTTCTTATTTCTCTTCACACATTCAGGGCATAACATGTTGTCTTCTAGGCCTGGGGGTGGGAAAGTGCAGGCGGGTAACAGGAAGAGAGAGATCATCCTTTTGGGAGTGTCAGGCACCCAGGCCTGACCTGCATGAAATTGCAGGTGAGCCCAACCTTGTGTGTCTGCCAAGAGAGGTCTGCCATGGACCACACACCACCGGACACCAGAGGCTTGCAGCAGAAAGGTCTCAACAGAAGCAGGAATGGAACGTGAATTCACAGACTTGGACTGACTGGCTCTCGCAGCAATTCTTGACCATGCTGCCAACATGCCTTCCTGCGCTGATGTTACCACCTCGACTGTATTAATCCCCCCCCCCACTCTTCTTACAACTTTTCCAAAGCCTTGCTTTCTTGGCCACCATCTTGCCTTTCCTTGAACATGACTGCAATTTAGCTTCTGGTGATGTTTCAGGAATATTCTGGTTTATTTCAGGGTAAGCATGTTTCTGGAGCCTCATATAAACCTCTATTTTCTGGCCATCGGTACTCAAATTCAGTTGTTGGCACCATTTCTGCAAAGTGTCCCAACGTACTTTATTAAATGAAGGCAAACTGGTTGGTAAGGGAAGGACTTGCATATTACAACTGTGTTTTGAACAAAAACTTGAATTTTTCATTTATCTGAGGATGACAAACTTTATCACTTGACCCAGGCATCATCAGGCTGATTTCTGAAGTTGAAGAAACACTTGGTTCCATTTGATGTTCTTCATTAGGCTCCTCATTCACTGGAACCAATGTGAGAATCACACTTTCTTCCTCTACTGCCTCCTCAGAGAAATTATGCTCATTGTTCTAGTAAACTGAGTATGCCATTTTCAGGGAACATTCAGAGGAAGGCAAAAGCTATCTACCTCGGGACATCTGCCCTCTCTCACTTTTAACCTTGACTCTTCTCCTACCATTCTTGTTCCTTCTCCCTTCTTCTCCTTCCACCTCCCAGCTGCTGCTTCTTTAAATGTGGCATTCTTCTATTCTTGAAATGAATCAGTTTAGTCTGTGATCCTCAATGGTACATGTTATTATTCTTCCTTTATTGGCTTACTTACAACATTCTCTTTAAACAGCTAGAAAAGATATTGTCTTAACCAAGTTATGTAGTTCTTCAGACTCTGGTGAGGAGAGCTTGCTGAAATCTAGTCAATTTATGTTTTCTAAAGTTTAAACCTAGTAGCCTTTTGCCCTTTAGTTAGAGAAAGTAGAAACTGGAAACTGCTAATTAATTTCTAATATCTTAAACAATATGAAATGGTTTGTAAATGACAATTTAAATTATGTGTTACTAAATATTACAATATAGTGATAATTGTTACAATAACCATAAGCACTGAGTGACATCCAGAAAGTAAAAGACAACATTGATCCTGTTCTAGTAAGAACTAAAGTAGGTTGTTGGGTGAGGGATTGTGGTTGAATTTACAAAAGAAAGAGGATAGAGTTTCAAGAAGAGATGCATTGTATGCAAAGGCCTACTGTTTGGAGAAGAAACTAATTTGAAATGGCTCAGACACACAAAATGTGAGAGAAAAGAAAGAATCCTGCATATTTGTTAAAAACACGGCTCAAACAATTATTGAGGCCAGATAGCTGTGCATAACATGTGAGGAGTTTCATAGTTTAGATGAGAAACTATAGAAAGATCTAAAGGGAAATGACAACACAAACTGGTTTTTTTTAAGCTTTGTAAATAAAAAGTTAACAATAACTATTTCTGTGGGTTTTCATACCCTCAATAATGCCTAAAAATATGACCCCTGGTTTAATTTACTTGTATCACCAACTCAAGAAATTTATGAGAGTACATTTGTAATATTGAAAATTAGGACTCTAGTCAAACACTATGTTCCACAACTCAAGCACGTGTGCTTCTTTGTCAAGATAATTTCATTATGTAGAGAATAAATAAAATTGTTAAGATGCATTTGAACAAGAGAATAAGAATGAGTCCACTGTTCCTGAAAAGGGGCAAATGTCTGGTTTACCATGAAAGATGAGGGATCCCCCCCAAATGGTGGCTTCCTTGAGCTGAAATAGTTTGTGTCTGCCCATACTTGTCACATTTCAGTACACATGTACAATATTGGAGTCATCAGATTACAAAATCTGAACAGGAAGACAAGGGAACTCTGCTATACTGTTGCTCTGAAAATGATGTTGTGGTCTATCTTGTATTATTCTTCAAAGTAAAACAAACTTGTTGCTGGAAGAAGGCTAGCGTTTCTCAGGCATTTGTTAATCCAGCCCTAATTCTACATTGCTATGGTAGAGCAGAATAAGCATTGCAAAACCTATTTATCTAATACATTCAAGTGATGGAAGAGTAGAAGTAGGGAGACTTACTTAGAAAGCTGAGCATTCTGCTAGTAGTTAGGATAACTAGGACAAGAGAGGTAAAAGACAGAAAATACAATAAAGGTATTGAGGATGAAGGGGACAAGATAGAGTTAGAACACAGATTGAAAAGATTTGAGGATTAATGCTGTATTAAGGGCAAGGTGAAATAACTTCTCAATGTCTGTCTTAAACCATTGAGTAAGAGACATAGAATGAAGATAAGGATTAAAGACATAGATGATAAATTCTCTCCTATGCTTTCGGAGATCTACAAGGAAGGAGTGCGTTGCAATTACTTGCAGTTAGTTGGTTCATTTGAAGGATTTAATTGAATGCAAAACAAGCCTCTTTTTATCTTACTAATATTATAGAAGCATATTTACTGTTGTTTCAGCTCATATTTTATTTTCCATTGAAATCATTTCCTTTGAATGGGTAAAATGTATTATTTAATACTCCCACAGATTTACTGCATTTTCTTGGCTCACTGTCATTGTTCAATTTTTAATAAACTGCTGGACATCTTCTTAAGTACCCAGCTCAAATAAGTCCTTTTAATCTACAAGACTGCTGTGTTACACACCTACAAATAAACTCCTCATCTTTGAATTCTCAATTTGTAATATAAGTAATAATAGTAGAATTTATTTGAAGATTTTCTTTGTGCCAGACAATATGTTAAAATATATACATATAATTTATGATGATGGTATAAATGTATTCATGTACATACATGCATATTCAATATATCCATATACATATAGATATTTATGTGTATATATATATGTGTGTGCCTATATATAGAGAGAGGGAGAGAAAGAGATATTATTTATATATTCTTTCTTATGGCACTTAATTCTTCCTACATTCAATTCTGTGTATATGTGTGTGTGTTTACAGATCTTAACCTATACGGGATTATTAGACTTCCAAGAGATAGTTCTAAATCTGACTTAATATTCATACCCCTCACAATGCATTCTCTGTGATTTTAAATACATTTTTTGGTTGAAAAAAAAAAAAAGACTGAGTGAGTGAATAATGAATCTTCTATCAGAGTAATATATGGGGAAAAAAGAACCTTGTATGTTGTGCTCAATAGCTATTTGAACAGGAATTTATAAAGACATTAACACTAAAATAGATATGATTTTGGTCCCTTGGAAGCTCTATATAATTTTATAATAGCTACAAAACTTGTGTGCTCAGGTAAATTACTCAACATAATCACTTAATTATCATAAAGTTAAAGATATTTTCTCCATTTAGGCATCCACCCTGCTTCTAAACTGGTAAATACTGAAATCTTTCCAAGATGACAAAATTTCTAGAATGTATGTATGTGTGCACCCATAAATGTAAAGAAATCCATTATATGTAAAGAATACTTTACATGTATAAATACATGTAAAGAAATACATTCTCCTGAAAAATTTGAAACTTAGAAAAAATGCTAATATAAGGTAGTCAGTTTTCTAGTCCTGGGGAAGTAATTTTTTTTTAAGATTTTATTTACTTATTTGAGAGAGAGAGTGAGAGAAAGCAAGCATAAGTGGTAGGAAGAGGCAGAGGGAGAAGCAGACTCCCTGCTAATCAGGGCCTACCACAGGGGTTGATCCTAGGACCCTAAGATCATCACCTGAGCCCAGGGCATATGCTTAACCCACTGAGCTACCCAGGGGCCCCCTGTTCTTAAACATTATTTTTCAGAAGACAAATTAGCAAGAGTGATTTTGTTGCTTCTGGTTTGTTTGTTTTTTGTTTTGTTTTGTTTTGTTTTTTTGTTTATTTTGAGACTTATAAATATATTCTTAACGACCTAAAAAGCCCTCAGTTAAACATGAGGGAAAGAGTAGGCATATTGTATTTTGTATAATGCTGTCATGTAAAGCCACGGTTTTAACAGAAAATTTTCAATATAAATGTTATCAAGTCAAATGTTATCCAATAGAAATTTTTCTAACGATGAAAATGTTCCATATACATATTGTCCTATGTATTAGCAGCTAACCCCAACTCATTACTAAGATTTGAGATGTAGCTAGTAGTACAGAAGAACTGAACTTTTATTTCCTTTTAATTAATTTTAATTTAAATATCCACATGTGGCTAATGGCTATAATATAGGAGAGCAAAGCAGGAATTGATAAATTTTACTCAGTTGGGATTTCATGTACAAACTTGCATCCTCTAAGACCCATTATACATAAGTTTTGTGAAAATGAAAAATCGCTTTCAGCTTTTTTAAAAAGGAAATTGCTACAGGAATCCACAAAAGCCTAATTTTGGAAAGAACAAATGAGTATAGATTTACTGCCATGTTAATTAGTGCTTAAGGGTGTTAAGAAACAACAAACAAACAAAAAGATAATAAGGATATAAAAAGCTACCTGTTGGAACTACTTAGGGAACCAGAAAGCATTTTTCTCTGATGGCCTAATTTGACCATATTTCAGTAAGTCTGTCCAAAAGAACAGTTTGTTTAAAGACAAAATTATCCAAATAAAATATACTGTATGAAATTTTGTTAATATGTTTATTTTAAAAACAGAGATAATCTTCATTTGTTTGAGGTCTGGTTAATAGGAAAATGTATAAATCACATTTATCATCTTTCTTATTGCCAGGTATTTTGTGTGACTTTTTACATTTATTTGGAAGAAGCAAAGGAAAACATAATTATTTTGTCCTGGCTCTTTAGATATTTTGAAAAGTCCTTTCGAATTAGTCCAAGTCTTTTTGAAATACTCTGATTTGGATTCAAAATGAGCATTTTTGTTGAAAGATTATACAATATAAAACAATTCTTGGTTAGACAACTGTGTAAACTTATTTAGTATAATTTTCAAGAAACCATAGAATACACATTTTCTTGTTCTAAGTAACTGATGTCAAATTGTTTTAAAATGTTCTTATAAAGGCTCATAAAGTAAATTAAAATACAATCACATTGATTATAATAGCATGAATGCAGCTAATACTTTGAAAATAAAGACTAAAGGGCAAAGTACACATAATAAAAAGACATACAGTTAAATTTACTAAAAATCATTAATTATTTTAAGCATAAACTCTTAAACCTAAAAATTAACTCAGTGTCTTTATTAGTCTGTGAAAAATGGAATAAAAATGAATTATGTAGATCTTACTTTCCAATAAAAGACTCATACAATACCATTAGAAAAAAGAAAGTTGCTTTTTTTTTTTTTTACTCTAATCTCTGATGAGAAATATTTTGGGATGTTATATTTCAATAGTAAATGTATAGATGTATTTAATGCAGTCATTCCTTATCTTGACTCCATACAGAAAAACACAAAATGTAAGTGTATACTTGTCAAAATAATAACTTAATTTTTGCTTCTGAAACTCTTCAGATCACAAGAAAACTTTATGCTTTTAAAATAGAACTATCCTACAACCCAGCAATTGCA